TACATTTAGAAAGGGAAGGTACTTATGACTTTGGGTCACTGCAATTTGTATTAATACTGTAAACTTCCTATCCCTTCACATCACTCCTGCAATGGGCAAGGTTACACATGCTGATTGCACTGCTGGAGTGCAGGACAGCACCTCGGATAATCCCCAGCAAAACAAAAGCAATAAGCAACCAACGTAAAAAACCATACCATAAACAATACCATTTCCCCTGTGTAATTCCAATAATAACAATTCCAGCTTTATTCATTGATGGTAGCAATACAATATCCAGGATGTTTTTCAAAGGGCTGCCAGTAACCACTTGAGAAATGTGACGATCTACAACTTCAAATTACAACTGCAAATATATGAGGATAGTGTTCAGTTTTAGAAGTGGAAGGAAAAACTCCACATGACCATTGTAGAGAGAAACCCACAAAGTTAAGTAAAGACTGAAAAATCCCCATGATAACCTGGGCTGGATTCACAGAAGTGGAAGGTGACAAAAGTGTCACTATGCCAACCTGACGCCCCATTCTACCAGTCCACTTTTCATTGCTGAGCCAAGCAACACTGACACCGAAATAACCCTTCAAGACCATATACTTGTAGTTATGTACAGCATAAATCTGATATACTTTGGTTGAAAGAGCTACATTTTCCCAGTGGACATACTGGTCTGGGCAGTTAGTGGGGAGGCTGAGGCTGGGGCAGCAGCGCTTCTGCATTAATGGGGATGCCTCCAGCGGCAGCATCAGTACCTCCTGCATCCTCTTCTGTGGCTTCTCCTGCAGCTCTTTCTGGATCTTGTAGATGTTCTCAGCCAAGAGGTGATAGTACTCCTCCTGTGACAAGACCAGGCAGTAAAAAACAAATGAGTGAATTAAAAAGTGAGCAAGGGTGAATGCTTTTCCAGGTGAATTTTCTTCAATGGACACTGGTCTTCCTAAGGGGCCACTCTAAATTTTCAGTGTTTTTAAATTTTGATTTTTTTTAATACTGGGTGGGTCAAGGAAATAAATGAAAAAACGAAATTTGCTTTTTTATAATCCAGAAAAAATTATTTTCCTGACTTGCCTGAAATACGTGTAGCGTACACGCCACACATATATAGCTCAGCCACACCAGCATTCCAAAAATGCAATCTTTTTCACCTTCGTTTCCATATACAGACAGGTTGACCTTTCCATTACATTATTATGCAAGTGTAAAACATCAAGGAAGGAGGTGGTTTTTAATGTTAGACTTGGAAGCCGGGCACTTGCAGCGGTGATCAACCACAAATGTAGCAGGTACCAGACGTATTATAAAAACCTACTGGTATACACAGTGAATGTTGAACACCAGTTGCTAATAACAGTGAAATGTTCATCACCTTGAATCTAAGACTAACCAGACAGCAGCAAACTGCATCCAAATCTGTTGGCTAGAGCTAGGTCTACGTCTCCGTTTCAATAGAAATACATATGCATGTGCGTGGAGAC